GTACTCACGTTGCATTCACCGTTTATCCATCACTTTATTGACCCCATTTTGTTTTTATCTGGTAAATGATATAGCTCTTACAAACCCTCTTTGATCGGTTTTGTCCGTGACTTGGACAAAAAGTCAGACTTGCACCCAGTTCACGTTTTTTTCGCAATCTGCGACAGCAAGGTAGACTGTTTTGTGCATTAAGTTCGAAAGGCAAAGCGTAGTACCGACGTTACTTCTAAATGAAAGAAAAAGTTGTACACCATTATGGTTTCGCTGTATAAAAAAGCGTGCTTACTCCCCCCCCCCCCCCAATGGGGTGAACACAATTAGAACGACGCTATAGGGAGGGGGTAAACAACTTATCTGCACTCTCTAAATTCCGAAGAGTAAAACTTCACTCCAGGGAAAATACGTTTAAGAGAGAAATTCCTTCAATCGTAAAGAGCGAGTTTTCACTCAGCTACACCTGAGGTGGTTCTTTTTCCAGACTTTTTCAATCTAAAATGAGAATGATTTTCCCTCTAAAACGTCTAGTCCCTAATTTCACTCTTTGGAATTGATAGAGTAAACATAATGTACCCACTGCAAATAGTGCTCTTCTATTGTGTGCCTGTCATGCATATCTGAATAACGCAAATGACTGACCTGCGAATGCTGATACCACCAGAAGAGAAAGCACCGCTCCGTCCATTCTCCCTGATTCAAGATTGTGTGCTTAGGTGTGAAGAGCTGACGGAACTATACCTACGTGATCAGACTGAATGGGTCACTGGTCAATTAATCCAATCAGTAACGACAAAATTCGTTCTGCGTCATTAAAAAGATATACTGATAACAACCAACGATCAGTCAATTGCCTGGTTTTTGTTTCCTGGGAAGGCGGGGTGTAACTGATGAAATTGTGCTTCGTGATCAGAAGGTTGCATTTGCTTATGGAGTAAATCGAGGACACATGATGAATTGAGGACAGGAACCAAATCGAGGACGACATCAATTAGAAAACGTGTACAAAACCAATGAGACACATCAGCTGCCTTGTTTTAACATGGTGGTTAACGGTAAAGAACCTTCGAAAATAATATGCTCTCCTCTATCAAAACCTGCTATAATTATGCTTTAATTGTACGTTTCTCTATAAGCAACCATGAAATATAACGTATAAGATATCGTTAAATAAATGAGAATAGCGCGCTTTTTCCTCTGATAGAACGTTATCGTTGTCTGCGTAATGCAAATGTATGCATTTCTAAAATTTTCTCACCACAATTTTGTCTCAAGTTTGCATTCAGGCTTCAATCTGATATGTTTACGCCCTAACTTTACATACGCATGCTTTATAAATACAAAATGTAGTTTTATTATTTATGATGCAGAGAGATGGTGATTCCCTTTCATTCAGGAAACGCATGAACTGCACAAACAAATAAGTTCATTCTAGACTGGAGGTGTCCGACGCCTCATGAGTCCGACGCCTCATATTAGTCCAAAATTAAGGGCTCACGAGGCGTTGCATTTATGAGGCGTCAGACTTTTAAGGCATAACATTTACTTATTCCGCCTCACAAGCCCGACGCCGCATAGGTCGGACGCCTCATTTCTCCGATGCCTCATAGGTCCGAAATAGCGTTTGTCCATTGTCGGACTTATGGTAGGTCGGACTTACGAGGCGTCGGACCTCTGAGGCGGAATTTAGGCCTCATAAGTCCTACACCTCTTTAGTCTGAAATTTCGAACTAGTGAGGTATCGGACCTATGAGGCGTTGGACTTCTGATACGCCCATACAGACTGTACATTCAATTGTTTATTGAAGCAACGACATATTTTCGATTACATAACTCTATGCCTATTTTGTGTTTTATTTATAAGACATCAAATTCTTACCATATCCGATCCCATGGAATGTGTCAATACAAAAGTAATAATACAGTCTAATTATTGATTCCGAACCTGCTATAATAATGTTCTTAATTTTAATAATTCTTATTCATGATTTTCTATATAGTGATTTTGGTATTTTTTCAGTGTGTTTTAAGAATTTTTATTGAAAGCGCATTTGAGTATATTTTGATATATAATTTTAAAACAAAACTTCAAACTTGGATATAAACTGAAAAACATCACATTCAGTTGGTTTTGGAAATGGTAACAAACAAAACATTCTATGACACTTAGACCTTGCATATTGATCAGGTTTAATGGGTCATTCGGCCACATTAAAACGACAAACAACGGAATTCGTGTTGGGGCAACTTTTTGTCTGATACATGTACCTAGATGATCATGAACCCGACGTTATTTTGACTCTTTCGCCGATAGGATGCACTCGGTTTGACATATTGTTAAAAAGTTTGTTACGTGGAACAAAAATGGTCATTCCCTATACGTCCCTGCAACAAAACAGAATGACAAAACAAGGAATTCCCCTGGGTTAAACTGCAAAAATTCCACTAAATATTAACTCTAGTGGTATGATATATTTGCTACACGTTAAAAAATGTCCAATGGACTCAGAAGATTAACACCGCCATAAAAGTAAATGCTATGCATGCTATATATTTAAACTGTGCTATATCATTAAAACCATGCATTGTATGCTCACTCTGCGATGATTGGACCATCAGGTTTAGCCGCTATCTTGGTGTCATATTGCCAATGCAGACAGAATTATGAGAACAACAATAGACGTCAACGCTTTTGCAACGTACTGATTTTTTTTTATCGGTGATCGTTCACCGGCCTGCACGGGAAGGTATTATGCTGCAATGTTGAGCTGAACAATTTGACTTAAAGTTCAACAGTAAAACATTATTCAACTTAGGCGAGGAGTACGGGATCGAGGCTAACATGTGGTGATTATTTCTGGGAAATAAAACCGAGAAATTTCCAAACCAGCGACAACTTTGGAGAAGTCAGCATTTGGTGGGATGAGAACAGCATCTTCATATTAACAGATGTAAAGTGTGTGGGGAGACAGACTAGATATTATCACGGGACATTCTGCCCCGTGCGCTCTGCTGGGGCATCTGCATGACACATGGAAATCCTTGCCTTGAAATGTGCGCTCTGCTGGACATCTGCATCGACACATGGAAATCCTTGCCCCGAAATGTGGTAGTCACTACATTTCTTGGATCGAAGAGGGGAAAGCCTGCTTAGTTATGAAGAATTTGTTGCCCGTTACTCGACTGGCGAGTAATTATGTGATCATTGTTAACTCCTTCTCTCAATATATTACTTTTTCAGGCGGACAAGTATTAACAGTTTTAGTTACAATACAGTTACAGACTTGGTCACCACTATGCTCGGAGCACATCCGCAAGAAACTAATGTATCAGTCCAGAGAATTACTGGTCGGCTTCACTGTTTGGTAGCCATTCGCCAAGGCCATTGATAGTTCCCGACATCATCGTTCGGGGCTTGCCATTCGAGGGCATTTCACCAAATGACGCGATAAACCTGTCCTTTATCGCGTCATTCACTCATGGTATTCTCGACGTTGTAAGACAGAATGTACACCGTGAAGTAAAAAGATAGTGCCAGGAGAGGGGGACACTCGGGGAAATGCCCCCTCGCAGAAAAGTAAAACAAATAACTAAAACATTAGACGAAAACAAACTGGTCAATCAGAACTACAATGTTAATTCAATGTATACATATATTTTACTCAAGTAACTCCAAAAAAACACAAAACATAATGATTTTCTTGCTAATAAAATGGTAGTCACTTTTACAGACAATCTACTATGCGATAACCACAAATCGAGTCTGCAGTACCAAATACAAAGCTAAGGCGACATTCATTGCCGGTTCATACTCGGCAAGGAAACGAGCGCAAACTTGTGTCGTCACAGTAATTTGTTACTCTGTGAATTGGCAAAATCACACGCCTCAACTTCAACGAATTTTGCAGCGAATGTTTCCCGACGTTAATGCGCTTCGCAATCGCAATTGCGCAAAGTATAAACTGACTTCACTCAACAAGTTTCACCCCAAAAATTAATACTATTACCGAAATGCTTTACCACAATTCAATTTAATGTTTTTGAATTGATGTTTCTTAATCAAATATATACAGGGTGAGTCAAAAAAAGCGGAACCCAAACCCCTAAAATGCACTTGATATTTTTGGACGAGACAGGTTTTAGGGTCATTGCGTTTAATTGGTGGTACTCTTTGAACGGATTGAGCAATTTCAGTAATTGTTTCATGTAAAAGTAACTTTTCAAAATTGGCTTTCCATTCATTATTATTTTTGGTGCTACATTTTTTTTTTTTAAATATGAGATACATTTTTGAGAGTTTGGGTTCTGTTTTTTTTACTCACCCTGTAAATCCTATTTTTTCCCTAAACAGGGTTTGTTAATAAAAATAACGTGTACTACAGTTAGTGACAGTTGTTAAAACAGGTATTCTGTGTCATTTTCTTTCTTGTTCCAAACAGTCAGAATACACGATGCATTGCTTTTTCGACGGTTTAAGGGTCATTGTGTTAAAATAGCTATATTCGTTGAAAGGATTAATAAGCAATTTCAGTAATATTTTCATCTCAATGTAGCTTATGAAATTGGCCTTCCAGTCATTATTATTTTTGGTGCTGCATATTCTTTTAAATATGAAAAATATTTTATAGGATTTATAGGGTTTCTTGACTTTTATATAGTTGTTTATTTCGAACACTGTATTGAAACGGTATACATTGTTTTGACGATTGGCGATAATAACACACGAAGAAGCTCAATTAAATACATCAATTCACTTAACACCAAAGAACCGCAATAGTTTTCTATTTACAGTGTACCTTAGCCTTCGGTTAAATAAAAGACACCACAACGTTTGCAAGATAAACGAGGCAGAGTTTTTGTAACACATACTTTACTTTCAACAATCTTGAAGTGAATGTTATTTGTTAGATAAAGTTAGTTATAAAATGTTTACATGCAAACTTTTTCCTGCTATATAAATCTTGTCAGCACTGTCGAACAGAATCATATGATTTTTTTCAGCTAAATTAATCAAGGTGACAACCAAGCAGCTCAAATCGCAGAGTAAAAGCACGATTTCCCCCAATAGGCTCAATGCGCACTACCGTCGCCACCACACTCTCATCGAGCAGGTTTGTTACCGGGGTGTTGGCATCAATATTACCGATGAACACCTGAAGCAAAAACGGATACAATTAACGCACGTTTGCAGCAAGATCAGCTAAATTATAGTACCGTCTTTGACCAAAATGCCCCCTACGTGCGAAATCTCAACAGACGGGGTCTGTTCCTGAACATAATTGTTACCATTTTAATACACAAAATCTTAACTTTGTGACCAGGGTGAGTGGCTAATTTTTAAGTTCCAAATGTTTTCATCCTTTGATTAGATCATTGCTATTTAGACCAGAGTTTTGTATTTTGCTTTGTTCTGTGCCATTTAAAAAGGCACATGTTTTTATTGCTTTTTTTATAATTGCTATAGTTGTATTACCATCGAACCGAAAAAAGTCGTGCAGAATGAAGTTATCAAAAACCAACAAAATCACAAACAAAATAAGACAGATTTCGATTTTATTTTTTTTGTTCTTCTCAAAACTATCTAAACAATTTATGTTAGCTTGCAGAAAGACTAAAAGTAAAAACGAATATTTACCTTAATTTTACCGGTTCCATCTTTCACGTGTTCACGATCAGATGAGTGCTGCTTCTGATACGCCACGTTGTACTGCGTCACGAACGAACCAACGCTGGAGCCTTGTGTGACGATGCCTGTCACCACTGTACTTTCAACAAGGTCTACTTCAATCCAGGGATTGGCATCGGAACTGTACACAGAGTGAGAAGAGGATGAGGAACAATGAAATGACAATACGATTGAACGCAATTATTGAAACCCTTTACAGTGGAACATTCGGTTGCGCATCTGGGTTGGGCTTCCGTCGGGAATGTGGGATTTTTTTGGTAATTTACAAAAAAAGGGAAACAAAAACTAAAACAAAACACAATAAAATAAAATAAAACAAAACGGAGTAGGAATGAAGTGTCAGGTGTGGTATTCCCCTTTGATACCTACCTCAAGGTATTCCATCTCAGTTTATTATTTAGACGTGCATTACTGGCAGGGCAACAACTCCATTGACTGGACGCCTTGATGCTATTATTAGGGATTCTGCCGTCCTCCATACCTAGGGGTTGCGGACTCGAGCAATCTGTCGGTAACATACGAGTAAGCAAACGAAACTCTTACTGTTATCGATACTTACAGATACTGATATGGTTCGAAAGCTAATTTGATTCTTAACTTTGTTTCGGGGTAAAATGCAGAATCCGTAAGGAACATTTCACCTTATAAACCTAAGTGATATAAAAGTATTGCAAATATGAATTAGAACCTTTTCAATTTGGCATTCAGATACTTTGAATTTGAGTGAAAAAAATTGGAATATGACCCAAGCACTAGCGTATCTTTTTGCGGGAAGGTTAATCCTATTTTTTGTTTTATTTCAGGGGGAGTTTCCCCTTACATTTGGAATGTTTTTCCTTTTCAAATTTGGAAGAGTGTTTTTTTTGGAAGGCAAAAAAGCAACCAAAATACAGCATTTAAATTAACAATTACAATGCCCATTGACAGCTTTGCAAACATATCGTTGGTAGAGTGTTAACTCGTATATTAATAGCGCAACCCCCAGAAACGCGACAAGCAGATCCCGTCTTGAACATAAGCAGGCGCTTAATGTTCTTTACAGCTCCTGATGAACCTTAATAAATATTTGGTTTAAATCTTAAAGCAGTATTACCCTGCGGTAGGACAAATCTACATGCTTATGTTGTTCGTACGGTATGGGAGATCGCAGGATGACTTACCAGTTGGGGTAGGTTGCCTTCTTCCCGGGCAACGCTTCCGTATCTCTTGCATGACTTGCTTCATCCAGTCATCCGGATTATCAGGATTTGGTTCTGGTGGGGGACCGGAGTAGCACACCCTCTGCTTGCTCTCCACACCAACCAACAGCACTTTGGAATAAGTTAATAAAAACACTGATGGAAGGCTAATCTTCAGGCTAATCAATGTTCAGCTGGTATGCAAATGGTAACGAATTAAACGAAATAAACGAAATGAGCGAAATCAATGATATAAATTAAATCAATTAAATCAATCAAATCAATCAAGTCGATCAAATTAATCAAGTCGATGAAATCAAACGAATCAAACAAATAAATCAAATCAATCGAATCAATCAAATCGATCAAATCAATCAAATCAATCAAATCAATCAAATCAATCAAATCAATCAAATCAATCAAATCAATCGAATCAATCAAATCAATCAAATCAATCAAATCAAATCAAATCATTCAAATCAAACAAATTAAACCAAACAAATTAAACAAATCGATCAAATCAATCAAAGCAATCAATCAATTCAATTAAATCAATGAATGAATAACTAAGGACAATCATATGCATGGAAACAATGTCTAGTTCCGAGGTGTGCCTACTGCATAACATTGGACATACCTCCCTTTCCGGATTATTATTATTATTTATTTGGGAGGGGGGGGGGACGCCAAAGGCGATGATCCGCAATAAATAATCCCAGTGCGTTAACCATTGTATATTAAAAAAAAACGTATAGCTTTTAGATATTGATATTGCATCACCCTTTTCATGTAAATTGCAAATTATAAATGTCCAATAAAATGCGGTCTTCATATTATATGATGTCCCCCATGTTGACAATAATTCGCCGCTGCTGCTACATTACATGTCCATGGTTACATGTCCATGGTTACATGTCCATGTCCTGTTGCAGCTGCACAGGCTCTGTCGCGAGAGGGCGCGCTCCATTTTTAAGCAAGCGCTTGAGGGCGTTTGTTTTCCCGCTTCAAACTTGCCAGAAGGCTGAATAATTCCAACGGTACAAAATAAGTTCACTTTCACACTCTTTTAGGAGTCAGAGATACTCGGTGGGGTAAGGGATCATTCATTCTTATCATTATTGCTCCGGGAATGTGACTTTGGGGGTGTAGATTGATTAAGGGGGGATATTGGGGTCTTTGAAATGGGATTATCACCCGGTTTATATAAATGTAAAGTACACCGCTGTATACATGTTATGGGGATACAGACTCGGTGTTTACTGCGTGGGCTCATCAGTTTATTTAGTTATTATGCCCTTTCACCATAAGTGAGGGTGCTCCATAATTTGGGTTAGGAAGCTATTAAGACTATTATATGACCATGTGCATATTATTCAATTTCCTCTATTGCATTTCTCTCTTTACTATAGCTCATTCAACGAAAGGGAGGGACAGAAGGGAGGGAAACTTGCTCACATCAGTATTTGACTACCTGTTTATTCTCGCACTGGTCAATTGTGATGGTCTACAGGTGATGACAGTTGCGTAATTGTAAAAGTGTAATTCTCCAGTGAAAACCTTGGTTATAATTGAACGTGAGGAGAATAAAACAGTCCTTTGAACCGGTAAATCAACCAGTAAATCACTGATCACAATGTCAATGTCTGATTCAACACCAGTCAACTCCGAGGAACCTCGAGCCGACACCCGACCTTCTTTTCAACGACAAAATCCGTCTCATCTCAGCCACGACCACCTGGTAACCTTACTGCCAAGTTTCATCACAGTCCCAGAGACCCAAGGATCTTTACAGACCACCCTCAGTCGTCAGTAGAATCTCTTCAGCCAGATCAGCGAGGTCCGCAATCAGTAAACGTATTGCAGAACATGAGGCCAGAACAAGACTGGAGGGGCTCAGGAATAGGGCAGAGGAGGAAAAAGTACGAGTGGAATTCGAGGCAACGCAGAGGAGAATCCAGATCGACTCTGACTTGAGACAGGCCGAGATTCATGTTGAGATGCAGAGACTTAAAAATGAACTTGCTTCGGAAGAAGAACAGTTGGACTATGTAGAATCACATAGTAATTTGCCGGTTAGGGAGGGGTCAGTGGCAGACGCAACTCAAGCATGGGTGAATAACGGAGTGAGTATCTCTGAGCCTAGAGTGTGTTTGCCTGCTGGTACTGTTGCCTCAGTCAATCATTGTGCCGACATGCCTGCGTCCGTGCTGCCGATGCAGTTGCTCAGCTTGACCGCCCCCTCTGTGAGTCGCGTTTCTCATAGGGTGGCAAGCGCCAGTGTACCAAGTTCACTGCCACATGCCTTAAATCCTAATATTTCTGCTTTCATCCCTAACACCATGTTAGTTCAGTCTTTACCCACAGCTCGTTTGTTCAGTAGTGTACCAGTCGCCCAGTCCTCGGCAAGTGGTGCACCAGCGGCACAAGGTTTGGATGGCCAGCACTTTCCACAAAGCAGCCCTTCGGAGCAGCAGCCTGGAGGGAACAACACAAGTCCACAGCCACCCACCAGAGAAGCAGACACTTCCAGTGGGGAAGAACAGAGCGAGTCCAGTTCATCTTATGATGACGACCCATCAGAGATTTACAAGGGTAAAAAGTGTTCATGCTGTCATAAGGGATCTTCCAAACGGAAGGACAGGTCCACAACTCCTGATGCCGATGCCAGTAATATAGATCCTGTGCCAGCTGTGACAGGCCCGTTTGGCTGTGGCTTTGGGATTTGGGACAGTCTTCCGAAGTTGGACGTCCCTAAGTTTAAAGTGAACATGATGTTAAGCAATATGTTACCTTTACATCATTGTGGGACGGCATCATGAAGGGCCATATGTGACAACTTCCAGAAGCCACCAAGTTCACCTACCTACGGAGTCACCTAGGGGGTTGTCCTCTCGCTATTGCTGACCGCAACCTTATCTCAGGTGATGGGGCATATGCAGCAACCATGAAGCAGTTTGATAGGGCATTTGGTGATCCAGGCCGAATCATTCAAGGTTTACTTGACCAGTTTGAGTCTCGTGCGGTTCTATCACACAACGATTGGTCTGGGCTCCGTGACTTCTCGGATGAACTGGTCACAGCAGTCGAAACAGCTAAGAAATTTGATTTCCACGATGAACTGAAACACCACCGCTATGCTGCAGAACTGGTGAAAGAACTACCAGAGAGGCTCCATACAGAGTTCCTTTCCAAGATGTGGGACCAAGGTCGAGGCTAGAAGTATACTGTTCATCATCTCTCCCACTGGTCCTGCTGGCTAAATAATTATGGAGAAGGCAAATAAGACCAGGTCCAATAGGGAGCCCTCGCGGTGGAAGAACCACAGTCAGAGGAGAGCCATTGGCAACCAACTGTCACCTTCGAGGTTTTATGTGGCCCAAGCTGGACCACAGACTGCTGGACCCTCAATGGCCGGCAAGAACATGAAGCTCAAGCAAGGTACCCAGACTCTAAGTAAAACCAGTATAGCAGCGGTGCCACCCGAAAGGTTCACATGTCTGTAATGCCGAGTGAAAGAGTCGAGCCACTACTTGGAAACGTGTCAAAAATTCCAGGGTCTGTCTAGGGACCATAAGCTCCAGTGGTTGAAGAAAAACCAACGTTGCAAGAAATGTGCAAAGAAGCATGAAAATGAGTGTGTTTAACCCAAGACTTGTCGTGAATGCAGAGCCAGTAGTGAAGGATGCTGTTTTGTGCTCCAATGCGGGACCCTGTACTCAAGTTGACTATAACCGTGATGAGCTCATCAAGGTTATATCACTTACCATGCATGGACCGGCAGGCTCCATTGACACCTTTGGTGTGTTAGATGAATGTGCAGAGCGGACAATGGTTGCCAGGATGAATATCTCTGCGTCTCCACGGTAATGGGAGACACCAACTGGAGTGGAAAATGCGTTAACTTTGAAGTTTCAGCGCGGGGAGACGCTGAGAAGTATAACATTCGGTCTGCATTCACAGCCCCAGAAGTACAACTGATAGACTACAGTGTCTCGGCAGAACAACTACAAAGTAAATGGCTGCACCTAAGGGGGCTGCCACTTTTTTCTGCTCGTAGAGTCCAACCGTCCGTCCTGATTGGTGCAGACAATGTTGAACTTACACTCTCACCTGAAGTACGCACCGGCCTTAAGTCCAGCTCTCCAGTAGCAGTCCACACCTTATTTGGGTGGACTGTGCTTGGTCACCAAGGTTTGCAGATGCCGGGCAAAACACTTGCATGCCAAAAGGTTTTGTTTACTTCTTGCACCACACAGCAACCATACCAGCAGTTGCACCAGATGATGGAGCAATTCATGACAGTTGACAGGTTACCACGTGTCAACGAGAAACAAGCGACCCGCTCAATGAATGACAAGCTCGCTATCCAGATTCTAGAAGAGAACACCAGAGCAGTTGAGGTGGATGGTGTGCAACGACTAGAGACCCCACTTTTGTTGAAAACCAATCACAAGAGGCCGTCTACTCTACCACATGCTGTACTGGCATTGGCTCGCTCAAACCAGAGGAAGATTGAGCGGAATCCAGATCTTGCTGAATAATGTCGTACATACCTCCATAAGCTCCAAGACCAGGGACATGTAAGAATACTTGGACCGGTTGATGACTTGTCTGCAGACCAGCAGCAGGGTTAATTGGTACATACCATGCAATGTGGTTCACAGTAGTGGCAAGTATCGTCTCGTCTTCAATTGTTCCCTTGAGTATGGGGGCCAGAACCTCAATAAAGAATTACTTGCAGGTCCTACTCTGGGTCCATCGCTCTTGGATGTTCTCTTGCGTTTTCGCAGGGGTCGAGTTGCAGTGTCTGGCGACATTACAACCATGTTCCATCAGGTGAGGCTCCTTCCCGAGGAGCGGCGAGTGTTCAGGTTCCTCTGGAAGGATGACCAGCTGGACAAGTGGGTTGTCATCGAATGGATGGTGTTGCCCTTTGGGGCTGCATGCAGTCCTTGCTGTGCGACATTCGCCCTCCAGAAGGCTGCAGGGGACCAGGTGGAGCAGTACCCTCAAGTTAAGGACACCATTGAGCAAGAGACATATGTAGACAACCAGTTAGCCAGCAGAGATGATGAACAACAGGCTACCGAACTCGTCTTGAGCACACGTCAATGTCTTGAAAAGGCTGGATTTCAGATGGTGAAGTATGCCAGCAGTCACCCTGCTACGCTTCATGGTCTTACCGTGCAGGCATGCTCATTCTCGTCAGGTGCAGTCATTGGCTCTAGTTCTGCAAGAGGGCGATCCAGAACCAGCCCTTGGTCTATGTTGGGACTGGAAAAGTGATAAAATTGTACCACCCAGCAAAGGTTCCGGACAGCAGGGTACTGACAAAGCGTACGGCTCTCAGAGCACTGGCGAGCCAGTTTGAACCTTTGGGTGACATCGCACCATTCACCTCCCGAGCCAAGTTGTTGGTTAGTGATTTGTGGATGGAAAGTTTGGATTGGGACGAGAGGGTGTTGGACCCTAGACTGACCCAGAGATGGGAAGAGTGGTGCACCGAGTTGAAAAATATCCCACGCGTTAAGTTGCGGCATTGTTGCACCCCCAGCACACGTCGACACAGCGACAGCCAAGAGGTCGCTGCATTTATTCTGTGACGCCTCAGAAAAGCTGTATGGGGCAGTTGCTTACCTTCGCACTGTCGACATTCAAGGGAAGGTACATTTGAGTCTTGTCGTGGCCAAGTGCAGGGTGGCACAAAAACGACTCCTGTCTATGCCACGTCTAGGGTTGATGGCAGCTCTTCTGGGTGCTCAACTTTGTGAAGTTGTTCTGAAGGCCCTGACAGTGGAAATCAACTATACTGTCATGTGGGGTGATTCCACTACAGTGCTCAGCTGGATTCATTCGGAGTCATGCCGCTTCAAGGTATTTATGGGCACTCGCATAGCCGAGATACAAAACTTGACGGAAGGTATCGAGTGGCGCTACGTCCAAACTGGCGACAACCAAGCTGATGAT